AGAAGAATGAAATGATACCTACCAAAGTCAAGAACAGCTGAAGAATCTGCATAGACTACAAACGGCTGAACCAGGCAACAAGGAAAGACCACTTCCCACTACCCTTCATTGATCAAATGCTTGAAAGATTGGCAGATAAATCCCACTATTGCTTTTTAGATGGTTACTCTGGTTATTTTCAAATTTGTATTGCCCTTTAAGACCAAGAGAAAACCACATTTACATGTCCCTTTGGCACCTTCACTTATCGAAGAATGCCTTTTGGCCTATGTAATGCTCCTGGCACATTCCAGAGATGCATGTTAAGTATTTTTTCTGATTTAGTGGAGCATTGCATAGAGGTCTTTATGGATGACTTCACAGTTTATGGCACATCCTTTCATGCATGTTTAGTCAATTTAGAAAAAGTCTTGAAGAGGTGTATTGAAACTAACCTTGTACTTAACTTTGAGAAATGACATTTCATGGTAGAGCAGGGTGTAGTTCTAGGCCATATAATCTCTAAAAAAGGTATTGAGGTTGATCCTGCAAAATTGGATGTTATTTCACAGCTTCCTTACCCCTCATGCGTGAGGGAGGTTCGTTCTTTTTTGGGCCATGCAGGATTTTACAGGAGGTTCATCCAGAATTTCTCCAAGATTGCAATTCCTCTTTCGAAGCTATTGCAAAAAGATGTTGAATTCGACTTTGATGAGGATTGCAAGGAGGCTTTCAACTTCCTTAAAGAAGCCTTAACCACCACACCAATTATCCAATCTCCAGATTGGTCAATACCCTTTGAGTTGATGTGTGATGCCTCAAATTATGCAGTGGGAGCTGTCCTTGCACAGCGGGTTGGTAAGGTCCCTCATGTCATTTATTATGCTTCTTGGACCATAGACACTGCACAATCCAATTACACCACAACTGAAAAGGAATTGTTAGCCATAGTATTTGCATTAGATAAATTCAGATCATATCTGTTAGGATCAAAAGTTGTGGTGTTCACTGATCATTCTGCTTTGAAGTTTTTGCTGAAAAAGATAGATTCTAAACCCAGGCTAATAAGGTGGATGCTCTTACTTCAAGAATTTAACTTGGAGATTAAAGACAGAAGTGGAGCATGAAACTTGGTAGCAGACCATTTAAGCAGAATAGAGGGAGTCCCTGAACTCATTCCCCTCAAGGATGATTTCCTTGATGAACAACTCTTAGAGTTGTGCACATCACATATACCTTGGTATGCTAATTTGGTTAATTTTTTGGTTGCAGGAGTTTTCCTATAAATGCATCAAAAATTCAAAGGGACAAAATCAAGAGCGATGCCAAGCACTATGTGTGGGATGACCCTTACTTATGGAAGTTCTATAATGATCAAGTGATCAGAAGATGTGTCCCTAATGAAGAGATCCCATCCATATTGCAGTTTTGTCACAATTCGGTTGTGGGAGGACACCTTGGACCTCAAAGAACAGCAAGAAAGGTGTTGGACTCAGGATTGTACTGGCCCTCCATTTTCAAAGACTCTTGGCGAACATATTCTATCTGTGAGAGCTGCCAGAAGTCAGGAGGAATGATCACCAAGAGACAGGAAATGCCTCAGCAACCTATCCTATACTGTGACATCTTTGATGTCTGGGGTATTGACTTCATGGGCCCCTTTCCCTCTTCTTTTGGTTTCTTGTACATTTTACTTGCTGTTGACTATGTTTCAAAATGGGTAGAAGCTAAAGTTACCAAGACTAATGATGCTAGAGTTGTTGCAGAATTTGTTCGCTCCAACCTATTTTGCAGGTTTGGCATCCCACGTGCCATCATTAGTGACCAAGGAAGTCATTTTTGCAACAAGACAATGGAAGTTATGCTGAGAAAATATGAAATTCTACACAAAGTTTCCACAGCCTACCACCCGCAAACGAATGGCCAGGCCGAACTCTCCAACAGAGAAATAAAGAAAATACTTGAAAGAGTTGTACAACCCCACAGAAAAGATTGGAGCCGCAGGCTAGATGATGCCTTGTGGGCACACAGGACTGCATTCAAAGCACCTTTGGGCATGTCTTCTTACAGAATAATCTTTGGCAAAGCTTGCCATTTACCAGTGGAGATAGAGCACAAGGCATACTGGGCAGTGAAGGCTTGTAATCTGCATTATGACTCAGCTGGAGAGCAAAGAAAGCTTCAATTGCAAGAGCTGGAAGAGTTACGTCTAGAGGCATATGAAAATTCCAGAATTTATAAGGAGAAAACCAAGAGGTACCATGACAAGTTGATAGCCAGAAAAGAATTTTGTGTTGGTCAAAAGGTGCTCTTGTTCAACTCTCGCCTCAAATTTATGCCTGGAAAGCTTCGCTCAAGGTGGATTGGTCCATTTATAGTCACACAAGTGTTTCCTAATGGTGCAGTGGAAATCAAGAGTGAATCCACTAGCAAAAGTTTCACAGTGAACGGACATCGCCTGAAACAATTTTTGGAGAATTCAGTTTCATTGGAGGAGGTTGAAGAGGTGGATGTGTACTCTCCTATCATTTCCTTCAACCAAGGCCCCTGTCAAGAGTAAATCACTTCACACGTCAAGCTAGTGACGTTAAAGAAGCGCTCTGTGAGAGGCAACTCACAAGTGAATAAGCAATTTTGTCTTTCCCTCACTTCCCCTTTGCATTCTTTCAATTACATATTTGTCTTTATTTGAGGTGTAATGAGCTAAGAAATTTCTGATATGCTTCAATTTTGTGTAAATAATTCCTTGTGGATTCACAATTTTGTAGGAATTATAGCAGCAGCACCACTTTGGGCACTCATTCTTGCTGGGTACAATTCATCCTTCGTGAAAGTGGCCACTCTCATAGGCTATAGTGACTACTTTGGCTCAAGGTAAGCAATTCTTTCTCTGTAGTTTCCACTTTTAAGAGTGGGAGTGTCCACTTTGGCGCCCAGGAGCTTAATCATTTGTGCGTGGACACTTTAGAGACCAATAGTGGCCACGTGCAAATCTCCTTACATTTTAGCCTCTCTGGAGTTCCCACTTTCCCAACCAAAAGTGGCCACGCGCAAATGGAGTGCAACTTAACTCACTGTAGTTCCCACTTTAGCAATCAAGAGTGGCCACGCACAAATTGGAATGCAATTTAGCCTCTCTGTAGTTCCCACTTTCTTAATTGAAAGTGGACACGCGCAAATTGCCCTCCAATTTAGCCTCTTTGGTGTTCCCACTTTTCTTGTTTGGAGTAGGCATGCCCACACCCCATTTGCACTATTCCCCTTGGGCCCAACCCAAAGTAGCCACTAATTCCTTTGAAAGTAAACACGCTCACCACTTTCACACAATCCTCACACGACGCCCAGCACGCACCCACTTTCACGTCCAAATTTCACACACCCACTCACAACCACTCACACTCATTCACACCCACTCACTCCTAGTCCCAAGACGCACCTTCCCTAACCACATCTACATCTTCAAGCAAGGTAATTCTCTCAATTTCTCTTCATTCATGGTTAGGGTTCTTAGATTCCCCAATTTGGGGCTTTTCAATTTTACCCTATTTTTTATTGAAATTGAGGTGTAATTATTGTGTAATTGAGCATTCTTACATGAATTAGAGAGGGTGAGGTCCCTAAATTACACCCAATGGGGTGTATTATTCCCATCCAATTGGGCATTCCCACTTTTGCCCCCAATAGTGGCCACGCCCACTTCCTCTTTTGCCATGACTCCCATTTGTTGTTTTTCTTATGCTCTCCTCCTTCATTTTTATGCTCTAAACATGCCAATAATGCTACTAATTGTTCATGTATGTTAGTGCCTGAATTTGGTTCATGCCCATTTCCATTTAGTTTTGGCCCCTCCATTTTGCTGTTTTGCTTTTCAATTCCATGCCATTTTACTTTTGCTGCACTTGATCCTCATGCACATTACATAATTAACCATGAGTGTTGATCTTTCTGGGTGTTGAACATGCTTTTCGTGACTTTAATTTCACTAATTTCTGCATTATGGTCCTTGAGCTTAGAAGCCATATTCTGCTATACAATGGATTGCTATACATAGTGAACGTATGCCACACCATTCTCTGTGCTTAATTGTTCTTGTCTGTACCATTTAAGCTCTATGCTTTGCCCACATAATGCCTTTTTTTATGGAATGGAATGTGTTTGTAGGGTATGTACCATGATTGACATTGGTTTCTCTCTGAGTCATATGTAGCATTATACACCTTTTTGCACACAAATTACTTAGGATGGTATCAAATTATTTTGCAGCCCCTGTTTTGATTGCTTGCTGTTATGTGTTACCATGGAGGGTTGACCCAATTTCCCTGCACTACCCATTCACATATTCTTTCTTCTCTGCAGATAATGTCAAGCAATCCTAGAAGGAACGCCCCCAGAACCAAGAGGAGCAGGACAACTGAAGCCTCTTCCTCTCAGCTCCCTCCTACCCATGACCCTAGGTTCAGGTCCCCAGAGCATGAACTGTATTTCAGGGAGAACATCCTGAGGCGCCAGATCGTCCAAGACAGGAATTTTGAAATCCAGCAGGGGACATTTCCACAGTTTCAGGAGGAAATAGACAGGCGTGGCTGGGGACTTTTCACCTCCTGTGCAGGCAATGGGTGGAAGGACATCACCCAGGAATTTTATGCTAATGCCCTGCGCCTTGCAGATGACCCTTATCCCCCCAGGCACACCATGGTCAGGGGAAACGAGTTAGTTTTACTCCAGCCACCATCCACAGGGTTTTAAACATCCCTCCTCTGCAGAAGCAACCTGACTAGCTGGATTTCACTGCATTTCGCAAACAGAAGGAAAAGGATTACCAGCCTATTCAAACAATCTGCATTGAAGGAGAAAATTGAGAATTTGATTGTAAAATGCAGCCCAAGAATCTGACCACTAAACACCTTCTCCCTGCTGCCAAGGTGTGGAGTATCTTCGTTGTCAGCTCATTCATGCCAATCATCCACACCTCCACCATTGCAGTGAAGAGGACTGAACTCATATATGCTACCCTCACTGGCATGCCCATCCATGTTGGGGAGGTCATCTGCAGTGCCATGCTGGACGTCCTGAAACGGAGCAGAGATTCCTTAGCCTTTCCTTCCCTCATCATTTTGTTGTGTCAGGATGCAGGTGTTGATTTTGGAGATTATCAGCAGCGAATCAGAGCAGTTCCCCCCATTTCCACTGCATTGGTGAAGGATATGCTTAAGCCCCAGAAATCTTCAGACCCAGGCCTCACTCTCCCAGCAAAATTCAGGCCTAAGCTAGCTCTCCCAGTCAAGGAACAGCTGCACCAGATAGCTAAGCGGCAGACTGCCCTCCATGCTCGCCAGAACACCATGCTCCTCCTACTGGAAACCATGACGCTGAACATTGACAAGAAGATGGGGATGACTTCGGAGCAGATCTACTACTCCCTCACCGTTCCTGCCCCTCATCTCCGAGCTGCTGCCCAGCATGACCTACCTCCATTCAATCCCAATGCCCCCAGAGATGCCCCCAACTCCAGTTCCTCAGAGGAAGCAGAAGAAGTAGAGGAAGATGAAGGCGCCACCTCATCCACCTCTGATAAAGATGCCATTTAGTCCGCCTTTTGTGTTTTCTTTTATTTCTCTGCTTGTACTTATTTTCTTTTATTTTCCCAAGTAATTAGGAACCACTTGTCCTTTTATTGTCTTTCCCTTCCTGCTTTTATGTTACTTTCCTTCAAACAGTTATGTTACCTCCCTTTCGTTCTTTTACTGAACTCTTGTTATCATTGTGCAGAGATGCCCTCAGTTCCATCAAGAGGAGCATCATTTTACCCTGAACTTTGAATACATCATCTATAAAAAAGGGGGTGAACTCTTTGTCCCTGTTTTGCATTTATTTCTCGCTTACTTTTCCTCATTCATGCCTTCTCTTTTCTTTTTAATCTAGTCCTGTTTTATAATTTTGCTTTTATGCTCTGATTGCATTTCCCATCCAACCCATTCTCATTCTCATTTTTGTACATATTTCCGTTCCTAACATTTTGAACATATTTTCTTGCCGGGTGAATTGTGCTCACATTATTGCAAGTTCTTGTCACCTTTACCATGGTAGTGAATTGGGCCTCTTACTTCTTTTTCTGTGTGCATATTACATGTATTGTTGCATTCATCCTCTAGAACTTGCATTGTTTCTTAATTGAATATGCATTGTGCAATTTTTCATCTAAATGATTGAGGCCTTCTTTGCACATAGCCCCCCACCCTTGCACCTCCTTTCCCTTTTTCCCCATGTCTTACTTTTACCAAAATTAGTCTGCACCAATAATTTCCCTTCCTTAAGATAGGCATTTCTTTTTAGTTGCCTCAAGATTTAGTGCAAGCAACTAAGTTTGGGGTGCAGATTATGAGTGTAGTTGCTTGAGGACAAGCAACATCTTAAGTTTGGGGTGGTGGACAGCATACATGTTAATAATACATGTCAAAAAAAAAAAAGAATGATTGTCAAAGTCCATGATATCACAAAAAAAAAAAAAACAAAAAAAAATGAATGAATGAAAAAGAGAAAAAGAAAGAAAAACATAGCAAGGCAATTGAGTTGAGAAAGATGCCCACATAAAGCAAATTAATGAAAAATGTGGTGAAAGAATGCTTGAACCTCTTAAGCTACATCATTTAAGGCATTCCACTCTAGTTGTTGTACTAAATCACTCAAAAGAACTTCCTCCTCTTAAATACCCCCTTGATCTTGTGACCCTCCTTGATTAAATTTGAACCTATCATAACCCCTATTTGTGACTAACAAAGCCCTCATGATAGGTGGTTCATTATGTCTAGGCAAAGGAGATTAAGGATATAGGCAAGCCTATGGTAGGGTGAGGTAAAATGCATGAATTGAGGGAAAACACTTAGCCTGAAATGTTATTGAGTGATGAGTGAAACACCACCTTGTGAGCTGGATAGTTTCTTTGCATTATGTGAGTCACATGAAGCCTTGCTTGATTCTTTTGTTTTAATTTAGTGGGACTTTACATGAAATATTTGACATGAACGTGATTTCTCTGTTGAATGAATCTATGGTTGTGAAAATTTTGGAATTGCCAATTAAAGCATGAAGTTGAAATAAATAAAAAAATTTGAAAAATTTTTTTTTTGGATAAATCCAACTCTCCTCATTTAATTTGCTTGAGTTTTGATTTGCTTGAGGACAAGCAAAAGTTTAAGTTTGGGGTTGTGATGAATCCACATTTTATCATGTTTTTACTTGTCTTTTTAGTTTTCCTTAATAGAAAAATTAGACTTATATAGTGTAAATAGTACAAAAATTACATTTTGAGTAAAAATCATAGGTTTATTAATTTTTAGTTAATTTGCATTTAATTACATAGATATAGATTGCAATTTTAATTTTCTTAATAATTTTGCAGAGTCCCCAAGTTAATTTTTGAGAAATCTTGGCCCTTGGATGAAGGTTGGCTTCAAAGTGGCAACTACAGCAAGTTTGGAAATTAAAGGACCTAAAGTAGCCACTATTGCCTCTCATAGTGATCACTCCAGGGAACTCCAGGACGCCGTTTGGGAAGCATTTTTGCGCGTGAACACTATTGGCTGTAATAGTGGCCACGCGCACCAGAGTAGCCACTTTCAACACAAAAAGTGGCATCTCCAGAAAAGTAACAAACCTTTCATCTGCGTGGACACTCTTTTGGCCCAAAATGGACACTTTCAAAGCAAAAAGTGGACACTTTGCTGACATGACATCCAATATAAATAGGTTTTAGGAATTAGGGTACGGGACTTTTTACACTTTACACATTTTTCCTTTGCCAAATTGAGACAATTTCTCAGAATATTGGAGTCTTGGGTGACAGCCAAGGGTCCTCTATAGGTTTTAATTTCTAATTTCCCTTTTGATTTTTGTTGAATTTACACTAATGCTTCTTACGTTCTTGCATTTCTTTCTTTCATTTGTGAAGCCCATCCACATGGAGGGCTAAACTTCCTAGTAATTCCTAGTCAATACACTTGAATCTTGAATTCTTGGGATTAATTGCAATACAAATCTTTCTTTCTTTGAATTTATTGACCCCAATCTTTGAATGAAATGGAATTTGCATGAAGGGAACATTGCTTAATGAACCTTAAATTACCCAACGAAACTCTAATTCAAAATTGCTTAATTTTGATTAATCTTTGAGGTTGCTTAATCTTAGGGATAGAGATTGGAGCCCATTAAGATACTTAATTTTAATTGGGATGTTAAAGTTAATTTTCGCTTGATAGATTAACTTAATTCAAGGGAAAGAAAGGGGATTATTGAATCATTTGAAAAATTAATAATGGAACTCATTGATTGACTAGGAATTACTCATTTTAATTGATTGAATTTCATTAATTCACATTTCATTCTTGATTTAAATCTAGAAATTAACAAAAATCCCCCCCCCCCATTTTACTTGCTTTAAAATCCATGTTTACACTTGTTCGATGTATGTTCCCAACCAAAAATTCCCTAGAGACAACCTAGGATAACACCCTAGTATTGCATTCATTTCTTGCATATTTGATGAGGATTAACGACAATCTTTTGCATGACGAGTAGCTAAATTCGTTTCATCACACTTGTCTCCATTGCTCTTTCTCTTTCATAATTGCTTCTTGCAAGCTTTTATCAATTTTTTCATTTTTATCCAACCTTACTCTCATTTCATTCCAAGTATTCATATTAGTCATATGCTCACTACTATTTTCATGGTGTTTGAGCCTCTCACTAATATGCCTCCAATTACTTAAACCCTCATTTGTTAACAAACTTTTATTATTAATAGATTTAAACAACTTGCAACAAAATTAAAAAAGTTGTCAACATGTTTAGAATAAACTAACCATTTTCTATCGCTAATCTCACCATTGCTCAACTTCTTTGAAAAATAAGAATATGAAAAATGCCTATTACTATTATCAAGAGGAAAGTCGGGATTCAATTCTCTTATAGGTCCCTTTTCAGCTAAAATATCCCTTGTTTTGTTATCAAGATTAGCCCAATTTCAAGGATCATAAATATTCAAAGAAGGAATTGTTTGTTCTTCATCAATGCCAATATCAAAAGGAATTGTTTGTTCTTCATGAGAACCAAGATTTTCAACATTAGATATATTTAGCATATCATTAGACGCATTTGAATTATTAATTTCATTATTCTCATTGACTTCATTTTGCAAACTTTCATTTGATTGATCTAAATTTTCATGAGAAACTACATTCTTAAAATAAATTTGTCAATAGCACCTTGCTGTGATTTTTTAAACTCTTCAGCACGTTTTCTTTCTTTTCTTTCCATTTTCACTTCCAGATAAACGCTTTTTAGGCAACATTGCACATAAAAGATAAATAATACAATACAATCATAAAACAAGGAAAAAAGAGCAATAACACCTGGTAGAAGAATTCAACTTAAATGTTCACTTTCAGCCTTTAACATATGCAAATTCCAAAAGCATAATCCAGTCACTAGGAAACTGAAAATATAATTATGATAATCAATTAGGGGGATAAGAATTAGAAAATTCAATGAAATCACAGACTTGATTTACCATAGTACTACTACTTCGTCCATGAACAATCCTTTGCAAGAATGGATTTTTTATATAGTGGAAATGCCATAAAATGCAAACTAAGATCTCAAAGTCGTATATTATATATTACAATTCGTAAAAAAGGCATAACAACAGATTGCATACTTGCAGACTATAATCGTATGCAGCATGCTATATATAATATACTATATTTCATAAAGGCATAATCTGATAACCACAATCCACAAATCGCAAAGTATACTATTATTTATGATGGAAATTTTTGTTCTTCCAACAACTATATAATATAATTCATAAGAAAAGAATAAGGGAATGGTCGAATGAGGAACATGGAGGAGGAAAGAAATACCTGCAATAATGGTGGTTTTGGATTATGGCAAAATGCAGAATTGCACACGACACTGTTAAAAAGTTTGGAGAAGTCAAAGAGTTAATTATGTTTTTAGCAACCAAGGTGTGACTGTGTGAGGAATTGAAAGGTCTTTTTTAATTTTCTATTTGTTTTCAACTGCAAATTACAATTAAGAGTTAAATTTGTTCCCTACATAAAAGCATAATACAATTTTTATTTTGGGCCCCTTTTAAGTCTGAGCCCTTGACGACCGCACTCTTAAACTACCCTCAGAATCGGGCCTGAGAACGGACAGACCTTCTTTACCTGAAAAATAGTTGTAAGAGTGAGCATCCTTTGCCCACTAAATCTTAAATTATAACATAAAAGAAACAATGCATACAATAAATCAAATACATTCCATTTCTAACAAATTTAGTCGTCATTTGACTAATTAACATCCATTTCTCATTGTATAATACTATAATTCAATTATTCAATTCATTCCACTTTATCATATTAATTTCAATATATTTCTAAATTTCTATTCAAGGTTTATACATTCTCTACTTCTTCTAGCATGCACATGCAGTGTAAGTTCTATTATTCTTG